GAGGTGGGCAACAAGGATGATTAGGGGACTGGAAACGAAAACCTATGAGCAAAGACTGTTTAGCCTTGAGAAAAGAAGACTGGGGAGAGATATGACAGTACTTTTCAAAAGGTAGTCATACAGAAGAGGGGCAAGATCTGTTCTCAGTTATGCCAGAGTAGAGGACATGGAATAATGGGTTCAAAATACAGAAAGCCAGATTTAGGCTTAATATAAAGGAAAACCTCTTAACTGTTGGACGAGTACGACAATGGAACCAATCACCTCTGGAAGTGGTGAGCAGTTCAACGCTGGAGAAAATTGGACAACCATCTGTAGGGCAGTGGTCCCCAACCTCTTTTTTGAAAATCACAGAAGAAACATGGTTGCAATCAAATACGGATATAGGAATTCCACAGCATCATGGCCTGGCAATAGTCTCCATGTTCCCTTTAGCATGGAGTTTAGAAACTATTGTCCCAGGAGTGGGACAATAGTTCATACTGAAGTAAATATATATTTTTGGTAGCCTGTTTACTTCCACATTCTGCTTAGGTTTATTCCTGCAGCATTGATTTATTCCTGGCTCTGTTAATTTTTTTCTGTTCGTTGGTTTGGAAAATGAGGGAAAGAAGAAACAGAGAGAGAGATAACTGTATTTGACATGATCAGACAAGAATCCTGCCTTATTGTGAATGAGAGAATGTGTGGGTGTTTGCATCACAACTTTCCTGCTACAAGTGGGGGTGACTAAAGAACTTTCACTGGACTTTCTGTGACAATGAACCATAACAGTTAAATGGAGTTCCCGTGTTTAGAAGCAATATGTGTTGGAAAGTAAGCATGCAGTAGTACAGGAGCAATGTTGAAAATTTCAGCACTCTGAAACTTAGAATGGTTACCTGAGCACACATCCCCTTTGGTAAAGGACTCATATCTACACTCCTATTTAAATGACCTATACAGACCTACACTGGCTTATATACAACCCTCCAACCTCAGACAACTACTGACTCACAATGGACTACAAAATACTGACACAGAAATGGGAACAAAACCTTGCTACAAACTCAGATGCCAGTAAAACAAATTCTATAAAAGGCAAGGGACTACGGGAAAGTTACAGAAAATTGAATGCTGACTTCCAAAGAATAGCAAGGAAAGACAAGTAGGCCTTCTTAAATGAACAGTGCAAAGAAATAGAGGAAAAGAATAGAAAGGGAAAAACCAGAGATCTGTTCAAGAAAATTGGAGCTATTAAAGGAACCTTTTGTGCAAAGATGGACATGATAAAGGACAAAAATGGGAGGGACCTTACAGAAGCAGAAGACATCAAGAAGAGGTGGCAAGAATACACAGAGGAATTATACAAGAAAAATCTGGATGTCCCGGACAACCCAGCTAGTGTGGTTGCTGACCTTGAGCCAGACATTCTGGAGAGCGAAGTTAAGTGGGCCTTAGAAAGCATGGCTAACAACAAGACCAGTGGAAGTGATGACATTCCAGTTGAACTATTTAAAATCTTAAAAGATGACGCTGTTAAGGTGCTACACTCAATATGCCAGCAAGTTTGGAAAACTCAGCAGTGGCCAGAGGATTAGAAAAGATCAGTCTACATCCCAATCCCAAAGAAGGGCAGTGCCAAAGAATGCTCCAGCTACTGTTGCTCATTTCACATGCTAGCAAGGTTATGTTCAAAATCTGACTTTGACAGATTAATTCATCAAACACAACACACTAGCTGATCTTTTGGAACCCAAAACTATGTTGGATTTATTGAACTCACACTTGAAATAAAATGGCAGTACAAATTGCTGATATAGACATTCAGGTTTTCTGGGTATTCTCTTTATGTCTATATCCAAGACAGTGGAAAAGTTCTCTTTTTTAGCCAAAAAATCCCCTCAATCTGCATCGAGGGAGGGGGCAGGAAATGATAGTCCAGAAAGTACTTTTTCCAAGCTCATCTATATATCTATATCTATACTGAAGAAAGCTCACAGCAAAAAAAGCTGTTCCTTCAAAATACGGTGCTGGATGAGAGCTTTGTGGATACCACACACTGCCAGAAATAGAAATAAGTGGGTCCTGGATCCAATCAAGTCTGAACTCTAGAAAAAGAATTATAAAACTGCAGCTATTGTATTTTGGGTGCATCATAAGAAGGTACGATGTGCTGGGAAAGACAGGAATGCTAGGAAATTTTGAAAGCAGCAGGAAAAGAGCATGATTTAAACCAAACACTCCCTGGTTCAACTCTTTGGGGGCGGGGGGAATCTAAAATATTTTATTTTGGAAAAAACACAGTGGCTGATGACATTGTCAGCCTTACATGGCATAACTTACAGAACAGGATTTCAACTGTTTAATTGCTAGCTAATTTGTCCCAGCTCCCGCCAACCTAGCGGTTCGAAAGCATGCAAATGCGAGTAGATAAACAGGTACCATCTCGGTGGGAAGGTAAACAGCGTTCCGTGTCTAAATCACACTGGCCATGTGACCACGGAAAGATTGTCTTCGGACAAACGCTGGCTCTATGGCTTGAAGAGCGGGATGAGCGCCGCCCCCTAGGGTCGGACACTACTGGACAAAAATTGTCAAGGGGAACCTTTACCTTTTTAATTTGCCTCATCAGGGGGATTTTATTATAAAGCAGGGTTGGGAAAGGCCTGGCTTCTTTAATAGATTTGTAAAAGTGGAAGAGACTCCAAGAGTCAATGAAGAAGTTCTTAATGTTTATTCTGAATCTTCTTTCTTACTGTATGAATCCATTGACTTCAGATGTTGTCAGATGGCAACTTCTATCACCTGCAGCCAGCATTGCCAAGATTGAAGGATGATGGGAATTACAGCCCAAGAGTACCACACTTTTTCCATTTCTTTTAAATGAGGCACACACATGCTTATTTGTTTGCACATTCATCCCTTGTAATGTTGGCACTAAACACAGTGTCTTTTTTTTAAAGTTATAAGCCTTATTTAGGGTTAGGCAAGGGCAAATAAGGTGAGGACATCATCAAGAAGTACCCTACAGAACCAGCTCTTTATCAGTCTAGAAGAACAAGTTGTTCTGAGTGCATTATCAAAGAGGAAAGGTATGTTTATAGTAGGTATCAGGTATGTTTGTGGCCCTTCGTTGCAAAAACAAAAGGGGGGGGTCATCTTTCTTTCCTCTAAGAAAGCAGAACACTTTTAAAGGGTTAGGTTTCCTTGTGAAGGCAATCTTTTAATTGCCTGTCAGCTAAATATATGCTAGTTTTTAGGTCATCAACATCACTGACTCCACTGATAGCACTCACACAAGCTCCCAAACTGACCTTAGACCCATATGCTAGATAACCTTGATAAATACAGAAGTGCCTTAATTTCCTCTGTTGCTTAGGGTAACATACATCCTTCTGCATATGCTGACTTCACATTTAAAAATGAATTACTCCACAAGGAAGACCTTACACCTCACCTTGCTTTTGTTGTTTACATTGTTTCCACTTTCTGTCACTTTTATCTAATTAATGACTCAGTAGTTTCAGTCTCCCTGGAAGTACTCCAGGTTCGAAATAATCTCACTGCTCTCTGTGCATCACAGAGAGAGCTTAAGTCTGAAACCAGACCATGAATTCTATAAGCTGATTGAGTCAGCTTAAATGTAATGTAGGGACACAGTTCTATGGGTACCTCTCACCCGAATCCCCTTTGCCCCCTGTAAAAAGTACCTTTTACTAACAGTCCCTCTGAGGCAAATCTTAGTTTCCCAATTTTCCCATTTGTAATTACATAAGGGAATTTGTTCCTAATATGTCTTGAGTTCTGATGGCCTATTTTGTTTAAATAACATTTGTTTTCTGACTTGGATAGTATCTCCTCTCCTTTCCTGATTGTATAATATTTTTAAATACTTGGGCTACTTGTTTCCAAATAACTTGATTGAAGATAGGGTGAAAGACAGGAAGTGCTCCTAAAATTGGGTTCCTTTTTTTTGGTGTGGTTTTAATTGATTTGGACAAGTAAGTGTCCAAGGTCTGGACCATATTCAGAAATGGCTCAGCATGGTTAAAAAGGGGGAAACCCATTACAAGCAAGAATATATCTACGATGGAATACTGGTATGTTGAAAAGCTCTAATCATATTTGTTGACTTTGCTAATCTACATCATCATGTGCTACCAAGTTAATTCTGACTTATGGCAACCCTTTTCAGTGTTTTCCAGAAGTGGTTCACCATTTCCTCCTTTTGGGGACATCTTGGGACTGTGTAGCTTGCTCAAGGCCACACAGGCTGGCCCTGCTTGCATGAGGCAGAGTGAGAAATCAAACTCCCAATCTTTGGATCCGTAGCCTCATAGCTTAATAATAAACTTATATTTTAGAGTCTGTTCACAGTTCAATGGTGACTGTTGAGGAAATAATCAGGAAAGCTTCCCTGTAGTACATGGGACTGGATGACAGTTTATAGTTTCCAGAGCACATGCACACGTTATTTTTACATGGGATCGTCATTCTAGTTCTATATGAATCAACAAATTTTTAAAATGCACAAAATGTACATTTAAATATACATTTCTAAATGCTCTCAAAAACTGAATCAATGGGGATTTGTCACATCAGTTCCTCCATATATTCGACTGATTCAATGGACCTACTCTGGTGTATTTATGTGTAAGACAAACCTGATGATGTTTCTGATGGGTACAGTATACACCTAGTAACTCATTGATCTCTGAACTTTTCTGTGTTGAAGTGACCAATGATTGATTATCACCATGCTGAAGTACTTTCTGCTATTTGCAAACGTCTGGTTTAAGTTAAGTTTGAATGAGATCATGTCTTCTTTTTTTGCATCACTTTTATTACTTAACTATAATATTATATCACAACATCTTTGATCCTTTGAGGCTGGAAGCTTTAATGGCAAATCAATTCATGAGCAACAGACAGGGCAGAAGCACTTTGTTGATCTTACAAATGCAGACAACTTTCACCATTAATACTAAGCCAAAGAATGCAATAAAAGAATGCCAGGGCATGTTTTAAATTCTTTATTGTTCCTGTAGATACAAGTTATTGGTTCATGGCAAAAACATTGTAATGTTTCATAAAGTTTGAAAACTAAGCCTACTCTGAAGACCTTTCACAACCCATTGTCTTTTAATACAATATATTTATAAAATGATCTATAAAAAAGCACTGCAGAAGCAATGGGGGTTGAACAAAGACATGGGACTACACATGACATTTAGTGTGATCAACACAAAATTCTTCATGAGCTGGTTCTAGCATTACTAATATTCAGTGCAGGGAAGAAAAATGCCTTGGCTTGTTTCATCAGCAATGAAGATTTAGTGACAAATGCTGCCAGGGCAAGAGTTCATCCCAATTTGAGGAAAAAGGGTTGAAGGGGAAAGTGCACAGTCATCTACAATGACAACTAAGCTAAGAAATTCAAGGACTGTACGTACATGTAAGTCACTACACAAAGGCGGAGGACTGAAAGAATCTGCCTGTTAGATATTGTGGGCCTATTTTAAAAGGTGTCTTGAGAGGGAAGAGAAAAATTTCTCTTTGTCACAATTCTCGGTTTCAGTGATAATTTTCACGGTATGACAGAAGGTTATTCAATCATAGTTTTATAAAATTGTGTGGAACCCTTATATTTTTTCAAAAGTATTTCACCGAATGCTTAAATTCATTCCTATGTATTGTTTTGTCTCAGAAATATGCCATCTCTTCATACATGGTGATATGGAAAGAAAGGAATGGCGAGCTCTCTACTGATACTACTTAGTGTGAAGTGAGATAACATTTGCTATCTGAGCATATTCCTTTTTTTAAAAAGCAAGGAAACAAAAACTCTAAACTATTTCCTGTTAGTACCCTACAAGAAGCACAATTTGAACATTACTTCCCTTTTAATTTTGTGGGAAGAATAATTATTTCTCCTTATATTAACTGACTTTTAAAAATTCAGGTTAGATTCCTATAATTTTCTTGGGAAGAGACTCAGTATTATTGCTGTTGTTATTGTCAACTTAAGTTGGATAACTTTTCAGACTTGATAATAGTTTGCTGTGGGATCATCTTGCAGGCCAACCCAGTTGAAATAGTCTACAATCTGAACACAAAATAAAGCTGAGACTTACGTAGATATGGCCAAATCTGATGTTATGGAAGATTTAATCCTGTTGAGCTCTGGGTAGAATTTAGTTGAGTTCTGGCAGAACATAACATTCCACCTGCATTGTTCCACATGTATAGATTGTCAAGTTAGAATGAATGGAACTTCTATCTGCACAAGGAGGTACAGGATACCTTCCTGTGCAAACCTGAAAAACATCAGTCCAGTGTGCGAGCAGTTTACCCAAAAGAAACTCTTCTGAAAAACTGCAACATAAACACTGTCTAACTCAGCCACTAAGACAAATTTAAAATCATTGCTATCACATTTACTTAGAAGATCAGCTCTAGCAATGTTCAATGAAATTCGTTGTGAAGCAAAATGACAGTATGAATTGTAAGAATTTAATTGTGACAGGGCAGGTGTGCTAAAATAGAATATAATAGAATGAGTCCAAATTAAGAGCCTTTGTTTACTCTTCTTATTTGGTAGGTGAGACAATTTGCTGCTGCTAGTGACAAAGCTTGGAAAAATTATTTTCTGGATGATTGCTCTCAGAATGCCACTTGCTATGCTGCCTAGGATATTCAGGGTGTTGTAGTCCAATCTCTAACCTCTGGTTAATGATAGCAATTGCATGGTGCGCTTACGTTTTACAACAGATGGGAAAAGAAATAAAAGCAGGTATTATTCATGTAAGGAGCTGGGATCTTTCAGCTCTTACATTAAAGCAGGGCTGTATAGGAATAAAACAAGCGCTGCTGATTTTAGCTACACAGCTTGTCCTGCTGTTCAAACTACGTGTCTACACAGTCCATAGATATACATTTTGATTGGCCAGCAAACTGCTTTGCAGTGACATAGCTGCTGGCTGCCAGCAAGTAACACACTAAAAATACATTTAAAAATTAAAAAAAAACCATATAATCTACTGTTTTTTTCTTTTCCAATGTAAGTGCACAGTGTATTCACCAATTAAGACAGATTAACAATTCTCATGCAAACTCTTCAACTTTGAAACTTTATAGCCCACAAATACAACACCATCCATACAGTTTATGCCAGACAGATTTAGTCACTTCGCGTTGTTTTTTTACTGAAGAATTGATGACATGCAAGTTCTATAAATTCAAGCCCACCAAACAGTTTTTGCTGCACAACAAAAATGACAATCATAGTCACAAAATACCACCGTACAAAGCTGTACAAGTATAGCAGCACAAAGCCAGCCAAAGTGAACAATGTCCAGTACAATAATGAAATGCATTTAACAATGATGACCCTGAGCTCTGATTTACAGGGTGGAATTCTGCTTCTCCCTGTTACGTCAAAGTATTTTTTGCCTTCATAGAACATGCGGAGCCTTTCCTCCTTTTCTTCCCAGCGCTTCTGACACCAGAGTTGCAATTCTTCCTGAGAGGCTGGCAGAGACTCTACTGGGTATCTCTGGACGTGAAAATGGATTTCCTTTGGGAAATTTCCAAACAGAAGATGCTTCTCAGTTTGAGGAATGTTTTGAGGATATGCCACTGTTATGTCATGGATAGCATCAAGGTTATTACCTAGTGGGGAAAAAAAGTAAGATAAGACTGTAAACCGACTGTAAACAAAGACTGTAACGTTCAACTGCCTAACTCAGTGAGTTAAAAATATTTAGCTAACATTTTTTGACTTGGATGCTTGTTTTCTCCCCTTTAATTTCAGCCACCCTAAAGAAAATTTATCATCCCCAAATGCCAACTAGAAACCTAAATCTGAGAAAACAATGACCTTCCTATGGCCACTTAGCTTTAGTCAATCTGAGATTTGATTCAGGGTTAGAAAATCAAAAAAGAATGCTTATTTGATCAGCTCAGAAGTCAAACAATTGATCTCTTCCAGAAACCACAGCTAAGGCCTGAAAGCCACAAGCAACTCTTACCATTACTCCCTACAAATATTATTAAGAGCCTTCTTGCCTCTGTATTTAGAGATACTTGATCAGATACAGGCAGGAAGGAGCTTAGATTCTTTCTCCTATTCACTGACCCAGAAACAACCAGAGAGCTACTGGATCCATGCTGGTAATGGTGTGAATAGCAATCTCAATCAAGGTCACTGGGTAATTATGAACAGGACTTCTGAAATAGGGACAAAGCCTCCCTCTCCAATGATCCTGTGCTCCTCCCCCGCCATCCTTTTGTGCATGGGCAGACCACAGCACACACAGAATGTGGTCTTCAGAGTGAAAAAGGTTGTACATTGTTTCCATAAAGCTATCAGGAGGAAGGTTTTGTCAGGTCAAAACTTTAGTGCTACCAATACATGATACTGTGTTTTAAATGTGTTTATTTCTATTTTATATTGATAACCGCCCAGAAGAGGAAAGGAGAGAGGGGGAAAAAGTGCAAAACCACTCTATGGCTAGTGGAGAGACGATGCAGCAGAGAAGGAATCACTACAGTGGTGCCTCGCTAGACGATGATAATCCGTTCCACTGAAATCGCTGTTTAGCGAAATCATCATCTAGCGAAAAGCATTTCCCCATTGTAATGCATTGAAACCTGTTTAATGCGTTCCAATGGGGAAGAACCATCGTTGTGTAGCGAAGATCGGCCATAGGAAAGTCACTTTGCGAACCTCCGATCAGCTGTTTAAATAGCTGTTTTGCGAAGCTTAAGTCCAGGAAACACTCATTTTGCGAGCACAGAGGGAGCTGTCAAAATCATTGTCTAGTGAAAATTGGTTTGCGAAGCAGGGACCAAACATTGTCCAGCAAAATTCCCCCATAGGAATCACTGTTTTGCGAATCGCTATAGTGATCACAAAAAGTCAATGTCTAGCGGGAAAAACTGTCATGCGGGGTAACTGTCTAGCGAGGCACCACTGTACTTCTCCTTGCTTCTTTGGAAGCAAGTATCATTTTTAGAACTGTCTAATGGGCCTTTGAGTCCGTTTCTGATGCTCAAGTCATCAGCACAAAGCAAAGTGTGTTGCTTATATATTGCCCCATAGATCTTAAAAGCATTCTCGGGGTGGTTTAGAAGTTAATTATGCAGGCTACACATCCCCCCAAGTGACCTGGGTACTCATTTTACTGACCTCGGAAGGATAGAAGGCTGAGTCAACCTTGAGCCGGCTACAGGATTGAACTCCAGGTCATGAGCACAGTTTATTATTTTGTATTTCCTTTTAAATTTGTATATGCTGTCTAGGGATAATGGCATTGCACCACAGATTTAAGATGAAGGTTATGTGGGTATGTGGCATCTGAGGTCTTGCAGTTTCAGAAGGGCTTTTGTTAGTATTGTTCTCATCCTGGGAATGAGCAACCTGTTGCACTGTAGGATGTAAAACTTTCTCTTAACCCAGTCATTGCATTTAAAAAGAATATTTTTTACTTCATTTTAATGCTGCTCATTAGCTCTACCAAATCATAGTGTTGTTGCAACTGATGGTGACCATATGCTTTACAATAATGTGTGGGTATATTCTGAGTATATGACTCTTCTAAAATTAACATGCTCACACTCTTTCAGGATTAGGCTCTTTATATCTTATTTCTAAATGTGCCAGATGTCATAGCCTCAATTTACCTAACCCCTCTCCTGCCACCTGAGTCCCTACCATAAATCTCTGCCATTGTTCCTGTCCTTCCTTGCCTTGCTCTCCAATGTAGATTCTGAGCCCTCTAAGAGCCTGGAACAGGTCACAAGTGCACCCCATTTCTAAGTCAGAAAGTGGCCTTTCCTGCAGTGGTTTCCAATGACTTTAAAACATTCATTTGTGATCTGAGAAAACAGAAATAAGCTGGAGCAGCACAAGCAGCAAAGACTGCATCCTGTGGGACACAAACATCATTTTCAAAGCTCTTCTGAAACATGCTAAGAAAGGGAAAAGCTCTGTGGTCTTTAAGAGATCTCAGAATTCCCTGCAAATTTAAGGGCCTCATGTTAATGACCATCCTGCAGCTGTTAAAGAGAAACTACTTGTTAACAGAACAGGAAGCAAAGCGAACTTTGCCACCTTAAAACAGTTACAAAAGCCGGAGACCCCATGAGCATTTTCTCAGTGCAACTCTTTGGAGCTGAATTCCTTTGAAAGTTCACATTACAAGGAGCCCCACAGAAAATTTCTGACAGATTATTTCAAAGCATAATCTTCTTCACCCGTAGATTTTATTTCCGCAATGCATTTATTTACTTTATCTCTCTGTTAATAAAAGCTTCCTACTTTTCTCCACCATGTGTCAACATAGAAAAATACTATTTTTTTAATATTCAAAAGGATTACAGGCTTCTAAACATAGCCATTATCTGGGCCATGCATATTTCAAAACAACACAAAATGGCAGTATAGGAGATTTAAAGAACATGCTGGTACTTTTGCTATCCAGAGAAGGCAAACTTTGGCTGATTTATTTAACCGCTGTTGAAAGGAGCATGCCCTTTCCTGTTATAGCCCTAAGCATTTGGAACCGTATCTTATGAAAGTTCTAAATGTTGTTTGCTGGGTATCTATTAATATGTGTAGGGCTAAACTATAACTGTCAAGTGGCTTTTTAAAAAACTGCACTAGACGAAAAATAAATTCCAAAAATTCAATGTTTCAGGAATGACTAAAGCATAGGATTTGGAACTAATTCCCAACGTCCTTCTGTCCTTCACAGAACATTATTAACAAACTGGACAAGCTTTACTGCTTGGTGGGTGTGGGTGTCTCCCTCTCCCTCTCAGGTATAGATCAAACTGGACTTGCCAGAGGAAAAATGAAGAACAAAGCATTTTTGCAACATATCAGCAGCTGGAGAGCTACACCAAGCCCACTCCTGCCCTAAGCAGGATTCACCCACCTGTATTTGGGAATAGTACTCTTCTTCTAAAAAGCATCATTATTCTACTGCGGAAAGATTAATATGAACCCATGTATGACAAGTCCGATTTAATAAAGATGAAGCAGTAAAATGTGCTTCCATATTACTGAGTAGGAAAAAAACAATCCAGAAGGCATTATTGTCTTGCTTCTTTCTATTAATATTACTTGAAATCCATTTGCTTAAAAGTGGCTCATATTTCAGGATCTACAGATGTGTCACCATTCTCTCCACTAGTACAATGTAAAATTAATTGCTTTTAGGCATTATGTTTCAGGCCAGCAAGAGGCAACTCCAAGAATTCTAAGCTTGTGACCGAAGTAACACTGTCCCTAATAAATCACATTCTTCAGTTTAAATGCGATTCAAAAGCAAACGAGAAAGCACATCTCACGTACTTTGCCAGATTCTTTTAATTCCCCTGTTCATAATATTGTCCTACTTGAATTTACAAAAATTTAACCTTATTAGTTAAATCTGTAGTATAGTATTCTAGCTTTTAATCAAGCTTTTAAGATATATATGGACATTTTCCCTATTAGATTTATACAACCCCTTCATCTTTACTCATGTGAGGCAGCTTTTAGTTAGGCATCCTTCAGTCTCAAAAGACTATGGTAATGTGCTCTGTATGGAGGACTTGGAACAGTGTCTAGTGTGGCTAAGGAGGCCAATTCGAGAGTGACAATCCCTTCCACATTGAGGACAAATCGAATCTGTCCCCTCTCCAGCTCCCTGATTTTGTTGCTTTTGTGACTTCCTCTTTGCCTCAACCTGATGGATAAGGGTCTCTTCGAAATGGGAGAGGCCATGCTGCACTGTCTGCCTCCAGGCTGAACGTTCAGATGTCAAGGTTTCCCTTGTTGAAGTCCATTCCTAAGGCCTTCAGATCACGCCTGCAGATAACCTTGTATCGCAGGTACACACAATGGCTTATCAGTATGTAATCTGCATATCTTAAATTATTTATGTTTCTTCCACCAGTTTTTACTTCTCTTTCATTTGAATCCAATTGAGCCTTCCATATTATATGTTCTGTATACAGATTGGGAGCTAAAATATACACTGCGCTGATGGAAAATTATTCAGTTTCTCTGTATTCTGACCTAACAACAGCTGCTTGTCCAGAGTATAGGTTACACATCAGGACAGTCAAATGTTAAGGTGCACCCATTTATTTCAGAATGATTTGTAACTTTTCAAGACCACACAAAGGTTTTGCAGTGATCCATGAAGCACATACTGATCTTCTTCTGAAATTCTTTGGTATACTCCAGTAGTCAACATATATTTGTGATATTATATCAAGTGCCATTCTTTTTCAGAATCCAGCTTGAACATAGGGAATTTCTGGGCCAGGCTCTTACTAAGCTTCTTATTCCTGCTCTGGTGCTAGCTGGGAGTTTTCTTTCTGAGAAAGGATGTGTGGAGCTTAACCTAATTAAACTTCAAAGCCTTCCAATTTAAGTGCATCATATGTAGGTTTTGTATGGTAGATAGATCCCTCAGAATGGAAAATTATGGTATCTGTAGTCCAGAAAATCTGAAAATCCCATCTTGAGTGCTCTCAATATGCATGACACTTCATAAAGATCAGGTATCCCTATCCAAGGGGGAAAGGTTTACTGTCCACTTCTTCCTATGCTGCTCAAAACAAGCCAGCCATCCTCAGGATGTCAGTGATAGATTCCTGTGCAATTTGATCTACTT